AACATATTGAAACAATAACGCGCTCGGCCTACAAAAGCCTTGGCTTCATCCTACGTGTAAGCAGACCCTTTACTGATATTAACTGTATTAAATTACTTTACTTTTCATATGTTAGAAGCGTCCTTGAATATTGCAGTACTGTTTGGAACCCGCATTACACTGTTCATATAAATAACTTAGAACAAATTCAGCACAAATTCCTGAGACATTTAAGGTATAGAAATTTTATTTACACTAATAACTATGAAGAGTCTTGTAGATATTTCAATATAATAAGCCTTAAGGATAGACGTACTTTAATGGACATGACATTTTTGCATGGTCTATGTAATGGAAGTATTGACTGTGTAACTTTAGCTGATAGAGTTCTCTGCTTTTGTACTCCGAAACGTAGAACGAGACATACACCTTTGTTTGCGGTTGTTAAGACAAAGACAAACTATGCACAAAACTCTCTGGTGAATCGTTTACAAAAAGTTTATAATAAAAGATTCCACTCAGTTGATATTTTCCATTCCAGTAAGGATAAGTTTAAGAAGGATGTCTTGAAACTTCTGATGTAGTGAGTTTAGGTATTAGGTAACTCATTAACTCATACACACACACACACACACACACACACACACACACACACATGCCCGCGTGCGAGGGAGGCGCATACGAGCATTATGCATGTTGAAAATCTTTTAATTTTCTTGTAATGTTTTCTAGATGTTTAAAAATATGTATTTTTAGTCCCAACTACTTTGTCTTCAACATGTCCGTTATAAATTGAAAATACTATTTAAATAATGTAAATACGTTTTTGGCTATAATTTAAGATCATAAGATGTATGTACGATGTAACAAAGAGCTGTGGATTTTGTTTGAAATAAAAAAAAAAAAAAAAATTAGTTTTTTTAAAGGGTAAAAATATTTTATTTAGGTTCTTTTTAACACAAATTGGATTGATTTGCTTTTAAGTGTAACAAATACTATGTGCAAATCGCTAGGCTTCTTCACAGAGGTACGAGGGTGACACTGAAAGTTCTTAGAAAATCAAAAACTGAATAAACTAGCAAGAAGTATAGCTAACAGGAAGCTGATTGATGTAGGTAGTAGGATCGCGCTTTGTGGTATACCTTGGGGTAGGTATTTGAGTAGTGAATTTTGATGTAAAGATGATGATGATGAATCTTAGTTTGTACTTCAGTCATAATAACGTGTTTATTTTATAGATTTCTCCCTTATCTTAACGATACCTTACTATATAACGTTATGTAAAATTAACAATCCATTACAAGCTTTATTACGTACTAGCACGCTTGTCTAGGCTCCATCCTATGCTTTGTGCAGTATCTTAAATGATGATTAATTAGAGCTCTGTGGCATACTTTTAATTAACCCTCTGTTTACTAGATGCCATCACAAATCCTCTCAAAAGATCTCAGTAAACGTTACAATTTACTGCCTAAATTTCTCTAACTGTTTACTAATTTATTAATACTACTCGCAGAGATTGTTTACTACTAGTCGCTTTGAAATTTAGTGCTCATTATAGCTAATGTTTGTGAATTTGTAAAAAAACAGTAACTACTTATTACATGGTAATTACAAATAACTTCAAGTCTAGTTATAATCGAATTCTTACCAAAATGTGACTTTAGGGGGAGATTATCTTTTACTACATGTAAACGAAATCTAATTAGCGTACATATAATTATGAAATCTTTCAAGTCGAATGATTGAATAATATTTCGTTTTAAAAAAGTTAAAAAAAGTTACATATACAAAATTTCTGTGAGTAACGTTAGATGAAGATATAAACTGGAAAGAACAAATAGATAACGTATGCAGTGGAATCAATAAATTTGTATATGCCCTTGAACTCGTTAAAAACATCACAAATATTAAAACGGCAATTGCAACGTACCACGCATACGTAGAATCTATTCTACGCTACCAAATTATAATATGGGGTAATAGTACTGACCAAAATAGGGCATTCGTTGCCCAAAAATAATGTATTCGTGCAATGTGTGGTAATGTCACCAGATATTTCCTGTCAACTAGTATTGAAAAGACTTGGTATATAACCCCTCCCGTCACTATATTTTATGAAGTTGGCATGTTTGTCTTTAGAAATAAGTCACTGTTTATTAAAGCGCGTGATATATATCCCCGAAACCGACGTGAACCAGAAAAACTAGTTCTAGATGTTATTCCTAAATTCGTTACATACAACAAAAGTTGCATAAATATGTGTATAAAAATATTTAATAAACATTGAGCTATTATGTACTACGTACTAGAGGCGACACTGCATTCAGCTACTTTGTTACATCGCACTTTAATCAGTCACTCGTTAGGCGCTTGTAGAGTTGTCACGTGTGGTGTTGATTTAAAAAAAATCTCTTGATAAAAATATGCCGTCGTGTTTACTTAGATATTGCACAAATAATTCAAGAAATGTCAGTAAAAACCAAGGAATTACTTTTCATCGGTTATTAATTAATTAATAAAAAAAGTATTATAGCGATACCTCCTACGTATAATATCGTAACCAACAAATATGTGAAAATTAGTTTTATATATTTTTGAATATTTAATAACACCCTAAGTCATATAAACTGTAAAAAATATTTATATTTACAATGTTACCGGAGATATTAAGACTGTAATTTATCGTATGTTCATTTAGATCGAAGAAACGTATCGTATGGTGTAGTACCCACACTGTACGCGGGAGCGGGGGGATCGCGAGCCGCGGCGAGCGTATAGTAACTAGCAGCATGCTATTGTATCTTCTAAGAAATTTCATTGATAGTTAAACTACCGCTATCTATAAATTGCTTTATGAAACACATAATACTTTTTAATTTATAGCTGCTCTGAAATCTTGCATTTTTAGCTACTTTATGTAAATCAATCAGGATAGTGTGGCCGCCTCAAAAAATTAAGCATTATTAATAATAATTCTAATATAGGTATAAAGGAAATACTAAAAAGGAAATCATATTCTTTTAATCAAGTTATTGTTATATGTTATTGCATTTACTAACTACATTAAAAAAAGCATCATCATCATCATCATTACAGCCCTACACAAGTCTGCTGCTGAACATAGGCCTCCCCAAAGTATGCCACAAAGCACGGTCCTGAGCCGCCTGCATACATCGAATTCCTGGATGTCTTACCAGGTCCTCACTCCATCTAGTGGGGGTCACCCTACACTTTGCCTACCGGTACAAAGCTGCCACTCGAGAACCTTTTTCCCCATCGGTGGTTGGTTCTTCGAGATATATGGCCGGCACATTGGCACTTCAGCTTACTAATCCGTTGTTCTATGTCGTTAACTCTGGTTCTAATGTGGATATCCTCATTTCTAAGTGTATCACGCAGAGAAACACTGAGCATAGCCCTCTCCATGGCTCGCTGATTGACTTGGAGCGTCCTCATACGTTAAACACTGAAGGACCACGTCTCAGTTCCGTAGGTCATCACTGGCAAACGCACTGATTGTACAGTCTTGTTTTCAGGTTTTGAGGTATACCTGATGAGAAGACATGTCGTAATTTCCCGAACGCTGCCCAGCCGAGTTGAATCCGTCGAGTGACCTCTCAACTGAAGTTGGACTTACCTAGTGAAACTATTTGTCCCAGGTAAACATACTCATCAACAACTTTGAGCTTAGTACTCCCAAACAACTACCGTCATAGGTGTGATATGGACGTTACATATGATCTTTGTTTTGTCCATGTTCATTTTAAGACCTATCTGTTGGGAGACACCATCGAGGTCATTGAGCATAATGCTTAGGTCCTCCAGCGATTCTGCCATAAGGACTATATCGTCGGCAAATCGAAGGTGAGTGATGTACTCGCCATTGATATTAATACCGTATCCTTTCCAGCGCAGTAGCTTGAAAACGTCTTCCAATGCAGCGGTGAAGAAAAGACATATCGGTGTTGCTAAATTAATTAATTTTGTCTTCCAAAATAATAAATAATAAAAAATCCCTTCATAGTTCTAAATTCAAAATAGTTTATATTTGCTACATACATGAGGTATATACTATAAGGAGTAATAGTAAATATAATAATAAAAATAGAAGTTTAAAATTTGTTTCACTAGACAACACTGAATCAAAGTGAAAAATTATTTATGAAATAGGTTCGCCGGATTGTGCATGTGCTTATTTCTTGTTATTTCGTATTTTTGAGTGTTTTATCGTAATTGCTTTTGTATATCACAAAACATAGGGCTCAAGAATGTGCTTTAAGGTAAATTTTGTAATTGGTGCAGTGACAAATATAATAAAAGACTTATAAAATAGTATGTTAATTTCACCCAAATCAAATATTTATGTTGGTTTGTAGTAAATTACTTTCTACATTATGTGCAGATAACATGGAATTTTATAACATTTCACGTTTTGGTGTTATTTTGTTTTCAAAATATCATCTGGTTTAAAATTGTGAAATAAATTTGTTAACAATACAGAAAATCTTTCTTTTTGCCTAAGTCCTACAATTTATTGATCATATATACTCTCATATGCCGATTTCTAAGTAACAAACAGTGTTTTTATTGTTATTTAGAAATCGACAAAATACTTAAAAATAACATTATGAAAGGAGTAGTTATATATATATATATATATATATATATATATATATATATATATATATTATAAGGTATCTATAGTTGAAGTAGTAGTTAATAAACTAGCTTCCAGGCGGCGCTGTTGTCGCAGCCAATTTTTACGTTAGAGATTCTTATCTATTTCCGTATATACACTTTTATCTATGACTAGCAGTTGCGACAAATTATACGGGGACGGAGCACAACACATACTATATAAGGAGCACACCTGCTGCCGCTGACGTCACTATTCAAAAAACTTGCATTTATTTTTGTATTTTGTGTGCAGTGACAGCCATAATATTCAAGTATGTCATCTAGGTCGAAACGAATGATTGATGCGGTCATTAAAGACGTTGTGTTCTGATTTGCAAAATATGGTGGCCGTTAATAATTCAAATCGCGATGATTGTGTGCGTTGCTACAAACCTATGGTTGATGATTCTATTCAGAAAGAAGGTAAATATTAAGTTTTATTACTAAAAAACAATAAATAAGTATAAAATAACTATTACGTATAGTACAGTGCAATACCCGCAGTAAAATATCGTAAGTATAACTTACTATAGTCTACTTTGCATTGCAAATATTTTTAAACTGTCGTAAGTAAACCTTACGATACTTAACTAGGGAAAATTATAAAAAAAATTAATAGTATTTTGTACTTACGATATTTCACATCGGAGTTACTTTTGGTAAATGAATCTTATGCTACACTTACGATACTCGTATTTTACTTTGATATGAAAAATAACTTACAACAGTATACTTTTAGAAAAAATCTAAAATAATAAATTAGATTGTTTTTTTTTTTACAGATTCGCCGCTTCCTTCCGATGCAGATATTTCTGAAATAAATCAAATGATGGATTTGTTATCTGATTCCGAGGAAATAATATGTCAAAGTCGTAATAATTCACTTATCACCAAACAAAGAAAATAATTGTAATAAGCAAACCACAATGATGTGTTAGTTGTAAAAAATTTAATACCGGCTTAAACTCGTTTATTTCTATCATTAAAAACGATAGTTAATTTCGAAATGTTTTACTACCATAAATGTCTTTAATCTTTCGTGGTCACTAACATTAGAATGATATTATTTATCGGGATATTTATCATTTATTATTATATTGATTTTTTCTCGATATTTTGGTACTTGCAAGAGTATCGAAATATCGCCAAACAATATTAATCTAATGTTTTATTACCTATGTGTTCTTTTGCACGATAGTTAAAAATAGTCTTGACATTTTTTTTATTTCAGGTTTTTCTGATGATTCTCCGGCTGAAGAAAATATCACACAACATCCATCTCCCGATTGTAGCTTAAATCATCTAGATTTTGATTGTGATAACCATTTCTGTCCCTGGTTTGTTGATAAAGATATTTTACCTCTACCGTCAGTTGATTCCAATATCACCGACTTAGCACATACCCCTCAAGAAAACACGCCTCTCTTCTTACTCAGAAGCAACACCACAAGCTTCTAGAAAATGGGTTTTCAAGCCAAGGAAAGATAAGGGAAATATCAGACGTCGACATGTTACAGAATGGAAGGAAAATAAAAGAAAAATTCTAAGAAACTTGGGCAAGGAGTATAGGAGTAGTGATGGTACTGTAAGAAACAGCAAATCTATGGGTCCTGTGTGTCATATAAACTGCAGACTGAAATGTTCAAAAATTAGCGATTAAGAAAGACTTATGATTTTTAATACTTTTTGGGGCTTAGGTAATCGTGAAAAGCAATGGGCTTTCATTTCAAATTTGGTTGTGAAACAGAGAAACGCAGGGTATTTACTGACACACAATCTAGACGCAATTTCACTTTAATTTATAGGCTATCAAGGGCAGATATAGACAATCAAGAAAACTATTTAACTGTGTGTAAGAAAATGTTTCTGAATACTTTTTCAATTAGTGAACAATTTGTATACACATCCCTGGATAAAAGAAACAATATAAGTGGTTTGATAGAAGCTGACATGCGTAGACGTCATCCTAACTATCGTAAAGTAATAACAGAGCATATTACCAAAAGTGTATGCGATCACATAAAATCACTTCGATCACACGATCATATCGCATGAAGATTAGTTCGTGAAATCGTGGATGGGCGGTATTTGCTTGTTTACATACATAAACATCACTCACGAATATCACTCAAAGTGGTAGGCAGAGACTACAGACTTCTATTTAGCACGATTCTGACATACCTCTGTCGCTTCCACCACATCCGTATACTTACGCATACATACTCGTCGGTTAAGGGTACTCTTAATTTGGCCCATTTGTTTGTTTACCGTGGTTTAAAACAGCCTGCTTAGTTTACGATTTGTATTGTAATCAATGTAGTTGAACACAAAGGACATCACTATCATTCAAAGCAGATGCGTACTTATCTACCTATTTGTATACATGTAATAAGAGATTGCAGCCTGTATTTATGTGGAATAAGCTGAAGTGGCAAAGTGCCAGTAATACAGGGTTATTTTTGAAATAAAAGAGTAGCCAAATTTTAAACTTAAGTTCAAATATATAAATATTGATATACAGTTATTGCAGTTTTTGGAAATACGAGTAAATAAGGCTTCTACTTTTATTTGAAATTATATTATTTTTGCCAACCGATCAAGCCTAAAAATGTGTGCGTGTGCTCTGTGTGACTTAGCGATTTAAATCTTAATATATATAAATTACGGTCACGTTGTTTGTCCGCGATGGACTCCTAAACTACGTAACCGATTTTATCAAATTTGCACACCATGTGCAGTTTGGTCCAACTTGAGAGATAGGATAGTTTCTTTGCCCACAATTTTTGTTTTTTGCGAGATTAAGAATTTTTTAATAGAACATGACAAATTGTCGTCGAAAAGGGCAAAATCAACGTCTGCCTGGCAAGCTAGTAACCTATAAAAGAGACTGCTGTCTAGTGAAAAGAATAACAATCAAACACACATGGTTGTTGGTGATCGCAGACTACTAATCCAAAAATAATCTGTGTAATTTGTAATTTAAAGAGATATAATCTCATGAGTGTGACATTTGGAAAAGTTGTTACATCTTATTAACGATTGGGTTTTTTTAAAAAGATAAATATGAGGCATATCGTGATAATAATAATAATAAATATTTTTGTTTATTTCAAAGAAATGGGTACATTACATTATATTAGTGACCGTATGTTTTAGTATATAAGTTTAAGCTTTTATTAATCATTTTGTATAGGTAGGCCGAACGAGCCTTGTATTGTCTTGAAGCAAAAACAGAATTGCATTTCAGGGTTTCCAGCTTATGCCTTCTACTTACAGCATTAATGGAATTAAATTTCAGGGTTTTGTGTTTACTCAGAATTGTCTGTAAATGTAAAGCTTTCTAATTGAAAGAATTCGGGTAGTTTCATAAAGTTTATCAGTTGAAAAAAAATTGTTTTTTTAAATACATAACCTTTATCAAACCACGTTGTGCACGTTCCGCTTCCAGAAAGCGCGTTTTGGCTGCACCTCCCCATACAGGCAAACAGTAAGCAAGAACAGACTGTACTAAGGATATGTATATTTCTCTTAGAAGACACTTGTCCCCAGTCCCCGTTTCTAAATCTGTCTTAGGTACCACATGTCTCAATGTCTTAAAAATCCATGTGAGATTCCTTATTCTTTGAGTGACATGTTCAAGTTGAGGATACCAAGAGAGTCTTTGATCCAGCCACGCTCCCAAATACTTAGCTTTGGTTACTTTTTGTATAGTGGGGCAATGGCAGTTCTGTCTATCTGTTATGATACGGCAGTGATATACTCTCACCGTAAAATCAAGTTCTGGCTGAGCGTTGTTATAAATGCTAAAGCATATATAGCAACTTTTGGCCGTATTGAGCGTAAGGAGATTAAATTGCAGCCATTTACTTATTTGCTCCAGACCTTTTTCTGCATTATTTTTAGCAATGTCCTAGGATCCTCCGGTGAAAACAACGGCAGTGTCATCCGCATAAGAGAATATTTTGGCATTTTCAAGGGTCATGTTATATAAATCATTCAGATTAATTAAGAATAACGTGGGGCCAAGAACACTTCCTTGTGGGACACCAAACGACACATTAGTGCAATCACTAGTATAATTTTCTAGTTTTACTTTCTGCCTCCTGTTTGCAAGGTAGTCCGCGAGTAATTTTAGTGGAACACCCCTGATACCAACACTTTCCAGCTTACGTACAAGAATGGGGATAGAGACCGTATCAAACGCTTTCTTCAAATCCAAGAATACTTTTAATTTAAGAGTTAATCTAAGAATACTGTTAAGTTGAATAATAATAATATATTATGTCCTGTACATACGTTTTCTTTTAACTTACATTCACAGTCGTTATACATTATATAAAGTAAAAAAGGTACAAGCAATATTCGTCCAACCGCTGCGCACAGACCTCTTCTCATTTCTTTGATCGCCAAGCACGTGGTAAAACCAAACATAAAACAATTAACAATTTAATGGGGATCGAACCAAATTTCCTCACGTACTTTAAAATTTTTAGCGAACGCTTTGTTTCTAAGTTACCGCGGTCACAAAGCATTATATTAGTATATAAATAAAATAAATTTAATACCAGCAGCAGTAAAATAGCAGCATAATATTTCTGTGTTTCGTATGGTGAGTCAGATATTCTTTGTACTCGTTTGTTATCCGTTATAAAATATTCAAAAAAATAATAATATATTTAAAAAATACTGAAATTCGACACATGCGTGACTTTATTTATTTTGATTTTTTAGAAAAAAAGAATATTAACAATGCTATAAACATTACTAATATTCCCCTAAACCACTCGTGGTAAGCTTAAATTGCTTGTGTTACGAGTGGTTCACGCCAGTAGTCAAATGGCGGATTCGAACCCACGACGAAGGAAAAATACGCCAACCGTCAAAGGGGGGAAAGCTGGGAATAGAGTCAAAGCGCGAGATATCTGGTAACACGATCGCAAGTCGGCCTGTCAAGGAGATAATTACAAATCTTTCATACAATAGGAATGCACATGTCCAGCCACGTATTATTTTATTTTGATAAAGAATTAGGTGATAATATGTTTCATCTCATAATTTGCACAGGTAGCATTGTTTCAAATATTTTATTTAACGATCGTTCATTTAAGGTGGCCCTAGTCGATAGCTCGAACTAAATGGTAGGCGGGGTTAAAATGCATGCAATTTTTCTAAATAAAGATGTAAATATGTAGGTATTACAACCATAAATAGATATCAGCGGCTAACCTAGTGAGCATGTGTGGGTGCGCGCTGCACCCCCACTTCATCCGTACCACTGATCGGGGAAACAATTTGTAGCGAAAGGCAAGATGATTTACAACAAAAAGGAGCGCGCGAAATTTTATAAACAGACCTTTGGGAGTCCGGATGTCATGAAAAATCTATTGAATGTATCTGTTCAAAATAAAATTATTTGCATTTTTGAATAACTAATCTATCCCTGTATGGTAACTGTTTTGGTATTTTCGTTCTTCTTATGGTATTTATTTCCGCCCAAATATGTTTTAAAAATAGTGTTGAAATTCGGAATTTTCGACGCTTATAACTTTTAAACATAATCTTTTTTTTACTTTTTGTTTCCATACAGGGCTAGATAATGATAAGACAAAATTTTATTTTTTACGTACACCATCATACAGTGGATTAATCATCAGACTACTTTTGTTTGGAAGAACGAGTGACTAGTGTACCCTTAAGCTCGTTTCGTACAATTTCTATCTAATTGTCGCTTGGACAGAGAATGTGCTTATTAAAAAAATCGAAAATGATTTCAAATTGTATTTTATATGGCATTCCAATCGAACTATATATTTCATTTTACGCTTTATTTCTTAAATATCTATTCATACAGGTCTACTGCTTAGTATGGGTCGCTTTCATTGTAGAAAGGATTTGCCTTAACGCGTGGCAGGCACATTGACTGATGATCTGGTATGATTCTTAGATATATATATGGCAAAAGAACAGCTGTTACGAACTGTACTGTACGCGCGATAGAAGTTATGCTTCCGTTATTAAAAGTTTAACAAAATAAATAAAAGCCAGATTTATGTACGTATTTCCCTGTAGTGACGGCGTAAGATAATCTACAAGCTAGCCGAAGTAATCCCGTGATTGTCGCAAGAGACAATTCGTATGAAACTATCTGTGGGAAAGCTCAGATCAGATCAGATCAGGAAATGTTCAGATGTGGACTTTTGATAGAAGTAACTTTTTGACGCTATTATATTAAAAATAATCATTATTATTTTTCTTTGACAGGCTGCATAAAATCTTATATATTTCAATTTTAAATTATAACAAATGTTCAAAAATATAATAAGCTCTAGGTATACATACATACCATAAATAATGACGAGTAAACAAAGTTGCATAGCATTCTATTTATGAGCAACTACACAATGTTGAACTGATGACAACTATATACGATTATTTACTACCATTATATTGTATATCAG